TGGGGCATGGGCTAGCATATTTATTTTATATTCTTTGTTCTAACAGTATTTCTTCAGAAAATACATCTTGTTTAGTTTGATATTTTCTGTTTTTCTTCTAGTGTCTTGGGAACTTGTGCTCTTTTTTCAGACATGTGTTTGGGTCAAGTTGAAAGCAGGTCTTAGTATGTGTCTTTGTGGTTGAATTCAAGGAGTGACAGATAAAAGAACTCTAGAGGTGAGAGACCAGATATCACAAAGCTACTTCACAGCACTGTTAACAATGTAGGCTTCCATTCACTTTATTGTAAGCAGCTATTTCTTATTTGTTGATTAGCTTTAAACTCACAGTTCACAATAATAATTCCTCTTTTTTCCTTTAGTTCTTCATATGAAAGACTTTCTTTTAGTTTCTCTAACTAATGACCAAGGCAGGTTAAAGATTTTTAAGATTATATGCTGTAGTTGAGGAGATTTTCATCAATTTCCTTTAGTCATTTTAGTGCCTATGTGCTCATAATTACCATTCAAACTGGGACACTTTTGAGAGACATCTAGGGAAAATAGCTATATATCAGGCCTTTCCTGGACAGAGATATATGATTCCTTTACTCTGTATTGATACAGTCTTCTGTATAAGAAAAGGGGCAGGTCTTTGAATCTTTTGGCATATGTTTATTGAACTCTGGGACACTTTTAAAATTTATATGATAATCCATCACCTATTTCCCGCCATCTGTCCCAGATGTTCTAAAACATCAACCCAAGATGATTTGGTGTATTTAATGTCATCCATATGCTTTTTTGTGGCACTTTATAGCTGTTCAAGTATATTTCTGCTGAATAAATATTAAATAACATATTACAAAGAACATTGGGAAAGATACTACTCAAAGCTCAATATTTGTCTGATAGATTGCCAAGAGTAATTAGTCTATAATATCCTTAACCAAGGCATGTGACCATATATGAGAAATCATCTAGGGTCTTTATGGTTTTTTCTTTCACAATTTCAGATGCACTTAATGACATTGTTTGGTATAGGAAATCTGGGCTTGAGTTGATCAGTGTAAAGAAGCAATTCATTTTAAGAGACTCTTGCTCTCCAAGTTAATTAATAATTTAATTCCTTTCATCTTGATTGTAATGCTTAACAATAGTAGTACAAAACTATCTAGGACTTAAAACCATGTTTAGATTTTTTTTTTCTAAATGCATATATATGCTTGTTGGAACTTCAATATTGTATGATATTGTATGATTCACAGGTAAGAATCCCTGGTATAAAATCTACTTTCCCTTTGAATATTATTTTCAGGAGAATATTTCCTCTTTTATAATGATCTGCTTTATGACACAGTATCCATAAAAAACAAAAAGAGGTTTATAATGAAGATGTAAACTTTGTATCTATCTCCAACATCACCATCAGTTTTATCATTTGCATTACACTGTAGCTGCAAAGGAGCTGATTACATTCTTCAATTTACAAAGTGTTAATTTTTTTTTTGCATAACTACACGAAGCAGGTAAATAACAGAACTTGAGAACACTTAGATTCCCTATCCCCACTATCCTTCTCAAACCCAATATATTCCAGAATCATTTCCTAACCTTATTATTTAGCTTTCTTTCCTTTGCAGGTTTTCTTTTCCTCTTTTAATCATCTTCTTTCCTTACTTCCTCTTTTCTCACTTCAATGCTCAAAACCTAAAGGGAGAGCAAAAGAATGATTGAGGGTTCTGTGATACAGATGAAGAAAGAGGAAGGGGGACTAGATAAGGTAGACTTGAGTAATAGTTCATTTTACAAACACACACACAATTTCCTGTATAACATAAATACAGGTTTGCAAGTTTTTGTAGGGGAATATATATGCAGAAGTAAAAATAAAGCTATAAAATTAATACCCCAGATGGGAAGTGTGTAGTTTTTTTTAACTTGAAATAGAAAACAAACTCTGCCCATGATTCCAACTAGCATCTCTTTTTTTGCTATTAAAAAATTGTTGTCACTCTTCCATCTGAGATGTGAGCACCCTTATCTGGCTTTTATGGAAACAAAGACTTGGCAAGAAAGGGATGATGTACAAGAGAAAAATCCATTTTGTAAATATTTTTCTCATTCTATAATGCACTCCCTGTTGGTATCTAAGAAAAATTTCTTACTGAGTTTTATACAGATATAAAGGAGAATGACTAACGTGCATTTCTGAACATTTGTTTTTCCACGTGACATTGTATAGATCAAGGGTGTTTTAATGAAGGATAGAGAAAATGTGTGTGGCTACATGTTTATATTTTCAAAACCATACCCTAAAACAATCAAAAATATTTACCATATACATTTGAAATTTTTTTTTGTAGAATTACAAACTCCAACATGAAACTTATAAAAACAGGAAACACAAGAATATAAGAAAAATGTCATCTTAATTTGGCATTAATATTTTGGCGTATCTTTCCACCCAAAGTTTTTTGCAGTTTATGTTGCTGCCATGCTCTCATTCCCTTTTGAAAAGCAAAATAACTTTTATAGAAGTTGAGCTCAATAATAGATTAGATTTATAAGACCCTCTGAAGAGGAGCCAAGTATAAATTCTCCAACCCTGTAGTGTGATGTGGCATAATTCCTTTGCTGGGAATCAGAACCTCTCACAATGTAAAGAGAACTTTCAGTACAATTATTAAATGTGTACATATCTGGAGTTCAACATATCTCCAAGAGTTAGGGTGGTAGCTTCATTGACCAGGGCTTCAATGGGTGCTAAAACCTGCATGTCACAAGCCAGTGGTGGGGAGATGAATTTGCTAAGCCAGAACTGAGTAAAAGCTCAGGGTTGGGACTATTCCTAGTTAGCAAGGGATTGTGAAGCCACACAGTTCCTGTTACTGTGGAGAACACAAAGTGGACGTTTGTCTGTCATTCCATTGGCACTAGGACCTCTGCAGCCACTGTTGGTGAGCAAAGGGGGCGTCAACAGATAAGGAAGCGCGCTAATTGGAGAAGTTAGCAGTAAGTCCTTGGCCTACTCTCTACAGGTTGACGCGCGGACCTTGCCGGCTTCCGTTCTCTTCCGCTTCCCTTCAGGTGCAGTGCAAATTCCTCCGCCACAGTGTGCATTCCCGGTAGCGCTCTCATCGGCTTTCCGGAATACCCGGATGGAAGGGTAATGGCCGCCATGAGGGACTCGCAGGCAGTGGGGACTTGACAGGCATTTCCCGAGAGCGGGACCGCCCATATCTTTTAGGATGTCGGGGACTGTAGAGGACCATCCTGGGGGCAACGGGCGAGTTTGTGGGTCGTCAGAGTCCCGCGGATAGGTCAAGGATCCGCCTCTTGCGATAGGTAGCGCCTGTTAAATAGTCCCGGCCATTCAGCGCTTCCGCCTAACTTGCCGCAAAGTTTTTCTAGAGAAGTCAGTCGTTTTACTCAGCGTTTTTGTTGCCACTAGAGCAGGCCTTTCGATCTTTAGCTTGGCTTTGTTTTAAATTTGGGCGTTTTGAAGTCTCCACGCCCACAGCCTAGCAGTTGGGTGGGACCGCGACGACAGTGTGCATCCGCGTATCCGAGGGGCAGCGGAACCCGGGAGGAAGGGGCGGATAGGGCGCGGTGTTTGGGGCGAAGTGGGGCGCGCGGCGCTCGAAGCACCCTGCCGCAGGTTCCGCGGCTGCTGGAGCCAGCATGGGCACTTTTCACGCCGCACCCCTCGAGCTGTAGGTTAGCTGGCCCGCCTCGACGGCAACCCTAACGCGGGTTCAGTCTGTGGTCATTGGGGGCTTTTTCTTCTAGCGGTGCCCAGCACCCTGGCGCGCGCACCCTCCCTGTCCTCTAGAGTTGGGCAAAGATGCTTCTCTTTGCAGACCCCAGCCACACCCAGTGACAGATGAATTTGTTTGTAACTGACTTCTTCATTTGTAGGGTCCATTTTGAATCTGTTCTGAACATGGTGCCCTCTTTGTCAAGTAGATAGTCCCTGGATGGATGGCTTTGGTAGTCGAAACTAGAAGAGGTGAATATATAGGAGGTAAAATGTTTTAACCCTCATGTAGACCGATGAAAAAGATGTAGCTTAAAGTTCAGAAAACAAAAGTTAGGGTTCAGTTTTCTTTAGGTTTAAATGTGGGGCATTTAGTGCTTTCGAGGCATTTTAGGGGAAACAAGGTTGAATATGTTACACAAAAGTCTAGAGAGCAAAATAAGTTAGTGTTCAAGGAATTCTTAAGGATGTTGAACGTATGATTGTCGCAGTGATGAAATATGAAGACAGTTAAACTATATCAAGTTGAGAACTTCATTAATTTGAGAATCTGTAGGTTAGATGTAGTTCACTGATACTGTCGAATTGCTTTTTTCTGTAGCCTATTGTCAGATGAATGTACTTTAAGGTTCATATCAAGTTAAATGGATAGAAACCATTTCAACCGATTCACTGAAATTTGCTAACATTTTCAGAGTTTTACCTGCAAAGGTGTAGAAATTTATGCATAATTTCCCAGCAATTGTGTATTTTTCTGGAATTCACGAAGACATGGCATTGTGTTGACATGTTCGGGTGTTAGCATTCACAGGAAAGGCAAATTAAATCATACTAGTTTTCACTATCATATTTAGCAATTAAAAACATTTATTGTCTGGCTTTATGAAAGGATAAAGGACAGCAACCTCAAGGAATACCTGCTGTGTGCATTGATAATATATGAACGTTTACACTTGATCTTAGCCAAAAGGCCGAGAAGCGATGATATATGAACGTTTAAATGCTTGAAATATTTACCTGTTGTCATACTTCACGTTCTGTAGTGTACTGTCGTTCCAAAGTTTATTTTGAAATATTACAAAGAGGAGTATTTTAGCCTCGGTCTAGTTTTACTTTAGAATATACCTTGAAATGCCCTTTTAGTGCATTTTCTGTTTGTAGTTGTTTGAAATTGCTCTTATTGATGCATTGTAGCACTTAATATGTATTCTTTTAATGATAGAAAACTTGCATCTTGTTCAAGTGCCTTCAGTTACTCTACTAAAAAATAATTGGCAAAGCACTACAAGCAGAGAAAAGGGTTATTCTTCAAAGGTTTGTTGTCTGATCTGAGGTGGGTGTAGGCTGTGAATGGGGTATTGGCTTCACATGGTGAGCACTTTTCATAGGATGTTAGTTTCTAGAAATGATAATTTGGAGTTACCATTGTGATGGTTGGATAATGAGATAAGTCAGGTCCATATACTAGTTCAAGTTTTGCGATTTTGAGCAAGACTTCTTTTCTCTATCTTGTATTACATGAAAGTATGAAAATAGATTGATTCTGAACTTTGAGTTTGTGATGTGTTACCTTTGAATTTCAATGATATGTTGTATGCTTAAGTGCAGAGAAGTTTTTTTTTCATTACCTTGTACAGTTAAGTTGACTATGAATTATAATGGGGTCAAGAGCACAGAAACATTTCCTAATAGTTTTTGCAGTCAAAGTTTTGAAATCTTGGTTTTGATTTCCAGATATCATCTCTTTTGATCACTGTTCCTGATTGTGACATTGTCCAAGCATTAAATTGTGCCTTTTACTCCTTGAAGAAAGAGGTATGGCCATGACTGAAGTGCTGGAATATATAGTACATTAAGTAATCAGTTAATATGTTTTAATATTGGAGTAAATAAACTAGTTGCATTTACGAGAGTTTTCATAAGTTATGTTTTATTTTGGGCCAAGATAAAATATGTATGTGTGGCTTTTCATTTTAGTGTATGCAAAAAAAGTAATTTTTGATTACTTTATTGTAATATAAGTTTACAGAGTAATTTCCAATAATCCTCCAGATCTCAGTAATGTTTTGTTTTTAGTTTTTTTTTTTTAGTAATGTTTGTTGTACTTTTTCATTTCAAATTTTATTAATGCAGGCCTTCTCTCTTTCTTTTAGCAAGTTTGGCTATGGGTTGATCAGCCTTGTTTATCTTTTCAGAGAACCAACTCCTTGATTATTTGATCTTTTATATTTTTTTAGTCTCAATTTTATTAATTTTCCCTCTGATCTTTATTATTTCTTCCCTTCCAGTGATTTGGGTTTGATTTGTTGTTCTTTTTCTAGAACCTTGAGATCATCATCCTGAGGATCACTGTTTTTCTAATGCAGTCACTTATAGCTATGAAATTCCCTCTTAGAGCCGCTTTCAATGTATCCCACAGATTCTGAGATGTGTTTCCCTTATTGCTTTTGCTCAGCATTCCAGGTGTAGTCATTCTTTTAGACTTTTTGGTATTGTTGGCTTGAATGTTTCTTTGTAGGATAGCCATGGGTATTTTTTGTATTGCTGGTTTGGTGATCATGAATTTCTTGAAGTGCTCCTTGTCATGGAAATACCTTATTTCACCATCGATTTTGAAGGAAAGTTTCATAGGATATGGATATGTAAGTCAAGCTTGGAAGTTCTAAGGACTTGAAACACTTCTCTAAAACCTTCCAGCCTGTAAGGTGTGTTGAGAAGTCTGCTGCAATTCTAATGGATTTACCTTTACATGAGATTTGTTGTTTTTCTTTAACAGCTTTTGAGATTTTTGTCCCTGTGATAGACTTCTGGGTACTTTGGGTATCATGTGGCATGGAGAGGTTCTCTTTGGTTGTAGCTATTGGGGCTTCTTTATGGCTCACTTAATCTGAATGCTTTCTACTTTCCCTGTATCTTTTAGTTATACCTTCTGAGTACCTCGCTGGTCTCTTTTCTAACCTGAGTTTTCCTTTCCAAGTCAGGCATATGCTTATGATATTCTGCCCTCTGGAGGAGTGGCTTTGGGGAAGTTGGGAATTTTGTCTTCTCATGTGTATATATACACACACACATATATATGTATGTGTGTGTATATGTTTGTTTACTTTTGTTTTGCTTTTTGTAGAGGTTTGTGGACAGTTATTATATAAAGATTTTATTGCTAGTATAGAGATCTCTTTGGTCACATTTTTTTTTTTTTTTTTTAGAGTTTTGTGCATTTTATTTAATGAATTTGGGCCACAAAAACTTAAATCTTTTCCATACACTGTATTCATGTATCTCGGCCTCTTTGGTCACTTTTTAATGATGTACTTTAGGAATGGCTAACTGTAGTCTTTTGCCTCAGCCCCAGGATCCAACCACCTTGGTTAATTTGGGAGAGAAGGATGCAGTGTGCTTGGCCCAACACCTAGTTGTTTAGGAATGGACCCTAGTACTGTTAATGTCACAAATGTAATCTGGTTGTTTACTTTCTAAGAAAACCCCTTAATAGCAACAGTTATGTGACCCTGGTAATACTAAGCAAATGAGATACAGTAGTATCATCCAAGACAAATTGGATATTAATGTAGTATAAGAACCAATTGTACCACCCTTAACCCTAGAGAAGAAATCCACAATTAATAGGGTAAACATTAAAGCAACTCAGGTATTGACTTACAGCTAATATGTACTACATGTGACAGCTCTATCTCCGCTAATGGTAGAAAAGAATTCCTGAGTAATTTTGTAGAGTTAACTATTTAAAGGTTAATAAAGATTTATGGTTGTATTATTAAAGATATAAGGATTTGGGGAAAGGGAATGCAGGAAGAAAAATTTGAACCTTACAGTGCATGGGAATGAGGAGAGAGGTGGGACAAAATATTTATAGGACTAGGTAATGGTACCAGCAAAAAACTGATGAGAAATAGAAGATAAAAGAAAAAAGGGAGAAGAAAAGAAATTATGGTTGTACTTTTGTTCCCAAGCTTAATTTGTTCCACAGTTCTGGGCAAGATGGCTGCTTTGGTTTTCATGTGTTCAAGCAGTCAGCCCCTGTCTGAAATGGTGTCCAAGCAAGCACTGTCTGGATTTGTTGGATTGGAGTCACTCGCCAGCTGTTGCCTGTTGAAAGACTCTTGTGGGAGGAGAATCTTGCACTGTCCCTGGGCATCACAGCAACCTCTGGTCTATTCCCCTGTGTTTCTCCCTGAGGCCACCTGGCATCCCCAGCATTCGCTTTGTCTCTGTAGGTTTGGTTTCCCTTTTCAAGAGCTGTGAGCTGGGATCTTTGGAGGAAGTGTAGACTCCATTTTCCCTTCTCGGCGTTGTGTTCTGTCTCTCTGATTTCTCTGTAGCTTTTAATTACCCTGTCAGATCCTTCCTGGTTCTTGGGGATCTACATCTCTCTTGCTTTGCTCCCCAAGTTGTTATTTTCCAGTAACTGGATACTGAATCTTGGTGGAGAGGCTGAAATTTTTCCAAAAGCCCATTTTTTATATGTGTATTTTTCACACTTTTTGCTGTAAATCTTTGTGGGTACATCTACCCATATTTTATCCACCCTCTATCCATTTATCACTATTTGAACAGATTGAGTCTTAGTGTGTCTATTTTTTTTTTTTTTGCCTCATGTATCTTGGATTTTTTTTTGGTTGATATGTGTTTATAATACCTTTTTTTTTTGTAGTGGGAATCGAACTCTGGACCTTGCGCTTGCGAGGCAGGCAACCGCACCACTGAGCTAAATCCCCGGCCCTATAATATCTTTTAAATTAAATGCTGTCTTGTTGAATGAAAATATACAATTATTACGTATCGCTAGGCATTTAGTGATTAATTTTGTGATTTTATAAACAGTGCTGCAGTGAATATCACTGAGTATTGCCTACCTTTAGGACGCTGTTATAGAACTGAATCAGAAGTTTTATACTTTTCCCCCAGGTTTATATACTTTACATAGACATATGCACATGTACGTACAGTGGTACCTTGGTTCACAAAGTTAATTTTTTCCACTATTCTGGGGATGATGGCCATGTTCGTGTTTGTGTGGAGAAGATGGCCGAGGTTGTTTGTCACCTAATGCGAGGTTAGCAAACAGAAGCAAAATTTTGCTGAGCGTTTTTGTTCGGGAACCAAATTGTTCCCAAGTAGAAGTGTTCATGAACCCAGGTATTACTGTATATATGCATAACACATGTGTGTATATACATATATATACATATATATATATATGTATATATATGTTTTTTCAAACTGTTCTTTGTAAAAGGTTGTACCTGCTTATATTTCCATCATTAGTATCTTATAGGGGTTCTTTTTCCTCACTGGCTAACACTGGGCATTGAAAATATGTAACACCTTTTATAACCTAATTGGCAGTTTTCTTACTTGGCTTTGTTTTGAGTTCTACTAAGGATAGCTATATTTTCACTTAGATTCTTCCGTAACTTTCTGTCTTTTGTCCATTTCATTTTGTCTTTGTGTAAGGTATTTGTATAGCAATACATAAAATATCCTTGTAGTTTAAAGATTAAAAAAACAAATGTCTGCATAGTAACTAATTAAGTTAAACCAGGTTGTTTTCTGTAGTTATAACTTCCCTCTTCTCCCAACCCATATGAAAGTCCCATTATTACTTTGCTACTTTTATGATTCTATAAACACCAAGTTCTTCAGTTTTGAAAATTTAGTGACAGACTTAAATCTAGCTATGTAATAAAAAGGCAGCAGTGCCCTTGTTAAACGAAAGCTCCCAAGGGAAATTAAAGTGAGCAAGGTACTTGGATCATAGTGTAGCTTTAGGTTCTTTGGTGGTTTACAAGAGCCCCTTTCGGCGAAGTCAGTAAAGTCATGAGTGAATCCTAGGAACCCTTAGGACTAACCATAATTGGACAATCTGATAGGCCTATGGTGTGAACACATTGGATGTGTCGCAGAGCAGGTAAGCTGGTCTGTAATTGGTTTCTAAGCTCACCATAACTTTAGATGGTTTGAACATAAGAGCATGGAGGGGAAGCTGAAACATCATCAGTTTATGTCAACACAATTCAAATACAGATAAGGATCTGGACTAGTCTTCTCTGAGAATTCTGTACTGAGGTTGATATTATGAGATTCTTAGTGACGAAAATTCTCAATGTGTCTCACCTTTAGACTTTCAGGATGTCCTATTTTTGGACTGCCTGGAGCAGTGTGATCTGATGCCCAGTTGTCTGTCTTCTTACGATTTCCCTTTACTGTCACCTTGGGGATATTCTCTCTCTTCCATTTGTTCTTTTGTTGGCTGTTTTCATGTCTTAGGTTTGTGTATATCTGCTTTATTCTTACTTTTGATTGATAGCTTGACAAGGTGTGGAATTTTCAGTTAAAAGTTTTTATCTCAGAATTTGAAGGTATCACTGTTTGTCTTTTGTCCTTTAATTGTTGCTGCTCAGGAGTCTAAAATGGTCTGTTTTTGAATCCTTTGTTATGTGGCCCCGTTTTCTTCTCTGGATGCTGGAGCCCCCTGTAGTAAGTGTCTAGTCCCCACTTCCTCAGTATGTGACACAAGGTTGAAGAAAAAAAATACACTAAAAACAGAACTAAAGAGAGAAAGTGGTCACTGGGATGGATAATGCTGGATCCCCAGGAAAAGGCCCGGGTCGGTCACATCCACTGATTTTTATTGTTCATCAGTTGGTGTAAAGGTGCGATATGTGTACAGATGTGCAGTATGTGCTGTTACTATGGAAATGAATGCAGACAAGGCTTTAAAGAGAAGAGACAAAGCATTTTCAAATTAGAAGCAAGATCAACAAAGTATATGTTGTAATTAGAACATTGTCCTTCAAGTTATGGAGGCACTAACTGTGGGAATGGAATTTTGGTTTGAATTACTCCAACCTCAGCTGCACATGTTATCTCATCGTGGGGCACATATTAGCCCCACAGCTTCATAGGCCATTAGTCTGGTCTCAGCTGTGGCCGTTAGCAGGGAGGTCCTGTTGACCTGAGTGCTACAGCAGTGCTCATGAGATGCTTGTGTGAGTCCCATAGCTTCAGTCAGACTTGTTTTTTAAAGTAAGCCAGTTGAGGGATGTAACTCTTTACAGCCTGCACTACTTAGAGCATGCTTTGGGCATAATCAATATTGCGGCTTCTTACACTGGAAACCTGTGGGATATTCTTTTTGTCTCCACTGTTAGGAAATTTTTGCAGTGGTATGCCTTGGTTCGTTATGCTGTACACTTAGTGGACATTTTCGTCTGGAAATTGATTTTCAACAATTAAGTACTTTAAAACATCGTTTTGTTGTTGTCTTTCTGCTTTGTGTTTTTAATTTCTTCTGCACTCTGGTTACTGTTAGACCTTATCTGCTTCTCTTTCTTACCCCATTTCTCCTATTTTTTATCCCCGTGTTTGTGCTATACACTTTGAGAGATTATTTCACTTTCACCTTCCACCACTTTTAATTCCCTTTTTTATTTCTTCTAGCCAGCCTGGCTTCCCCCCACTTCCTTTCTCCTCTTTTTCTCTCTTCCTTTGAAGCAGGGTCTTGCTGTGTTGCCTAGGCTAGACTTGAAGTCAAGATTCTTCTGAAGTCTCTCAAGTAGCAGTAAGTACGACTAGGAGTGTGCCATTGTGCCTAGTGTTTATATTTCCTTATTTCCAAAAGTTCTTTTGGTTGTCTTAATATTTTATGTATCATCCTGTTACTTATTTTATGTGTAAGAAATCAGTAAGTTTTTAAAAATGTTTTTTCCTTAATACATAGATTCTAACAGTTGCTTTATTCCAGGTGGGGCAGCATGGCAGAGTGACACAGCAGAGTAGAGACAGTTCATGGTAGGGTAGGCAGGAAGCAGCGGGCTTCTTCTTTTCTCTTTTATTCTGTCCAAGTTACAAGCCTCATGATTAGTGCCACCTACACCCACGGTGGGTCCTCCCTCTTCTGAAAGTCTGTCATCCACAGCCAGAACTATGCTGAGCCGATCAGTGGACTAATCCAGGATCATACACCCATGATCCATTCACCTCCCAAAGGCCCACCTATGAGCTCATGAGGCTTTGTGGGGAAATCGAGATATAAGCCATAATACTACATATTTATATGCTTTCCAGCATCTAAAATTTTTTTTGCTGTTGTTACTTTTCCAGTGGGGAGCTTTCTGGACGTACGTCTTATATATTTGATGATACAAATGCTCTTTTCAGTATTTTGGTTATATTTATTTATATGTTGTAGATTTTTTAATCCACGGATATTTCTTCTGTATTACATTATTTCTGTTTTTTATTTCATTCCTATTTGATATAAAATTTGATTTTGCTTAAGCATTTACTTAAAAATTTCCCACAGAGTACATATATGGAATACAGTCTGAAACTTTATGTATCCAAAATTGTTTTTCCTCTCACATAAGAGGATTTTCACACATATAGAATTATTGGGTTAATCCTTTTCCCCTCAAAACTCTACAAATGTTATTCCATTGTCTTTTGGACATTTACAGCTGGGAATGACATGTCTGATTGACATTGGTGTCTGATTAAAATTGATGTTGTTGATGACAATGGAATACCATTTTAAGTAACTCCCCAAACACTTTCTGGATAGCATTTTATTTTTATTTTTTAAATTAAAATTTTATACCTGGATAAATTATAGTAGTAGTAATCTTGTCTGGCATTTGGGGAGCTTTTGATTTTGAAAATTTAAGAGTTTTTTTTTTTTTTCCTCCAAAAGCAAAATATTTACTGTAATGTGTTTCTCGTTTCCAAAATTCTTTTTTCTCTCCCATCTCCTTTGTTTTCTTACATTACTGTATACTCTAGTTTTTCAATATATTATCTCACATCTTCCTAAGATTGCCAGTTACAGCAGTCCCTTCTTTTCCGTTGACCATAGTCTGAAAGTAGTAAAGAGAAAATTCCAGAAATAAACAATTCATAAGTTTTAAATTGTACACCATTCTGAGTGTGTGATGAAATCTCTCTGACCTTTCCTGGATGTGAGTCATCCCTTTATCCAGCCTGTTGTCTTGTTTTCCACATTGACCTTCATAGTGTCATAGTGCTTGTGTTCAAGTAACTCACATGTGGTAACTCAGTGCTGTGTCACAATGCCCACATCATTCACCTTGTTTCATCTTATAACGCAAGCGTTGTTTCCATCTTGCATCACACAAGAAGTATGAGTATAGAATGAGTTGTTAAGAGAGACTACATCCACTCAGCTTTTATTACAGAATACTGTTAAAATCATTTTATTTTGTAATATTACTGTTGATCTCATACTATGCCTAATTTATAAATTAAACTTTATCCTAGATATGTATATGTCTTAGTTACTTTTCTCGTTGCTGAGACAAAAATACCCAACACTCACAAGTTAAGGGATGAAAGATTTATTTAGCTCACAGTTTGTAGAGATTTCTCTCAGACCTGTCTGTAATCGGGTGGCTCCAAGGCAAGGTGGCTTGGCCTAGGACTTCACAGAGGAGGACAGTTCATGGCACCACAAGGTCGCAAAAGCAGCAAGGGCACCTTAACAGCATCTTTCTGCCCCTTTTTTCTTACCCACACTACTGGTATTAGGGTGATGCCAAACCAATGCCAGTACTGGTTTAGTAATCACACATCCCTAATCCCAGCATCACACCCTCTAGATTCAGCCATTTCTGAAAAATCCACCGATTGCTGCTGAGGCTTTGAGGGGACATCCAGACCCAGAAACATAGTATATATAGTATTTGGTGCTGTTTGTGGGTTCAGGCATCCACTGGGGTTCCTTGAATGTATTCCTTCAAGATAAGGGTGGATAACTATATTACCTGATTTTTTTTATGGGTTTTTTTTCTTACTGCAATAACTTTTATTGTAGTTAATGTATTTCACTGTTGGATGGGAGAAAGGGAGTGGTTTTCTGAATATTCAGATTATTTTTCTGTTTTGAGCTACTGTATCCAGTTTTGTTTCTGCTTATCTTTTTTTTGCATTGTTAGTTGAGATGAGTTCTTAGAGAATAAACCAAGATTTACTCAGGTTGTTCTAGTCAGAAGGAAGGGAAATGTAGGAATTTTAATTTTCTTTTGACAGTATAGACCAGTGGTGGCGAACTAATGGCACTCGTGTGGCAAGGGGCTCTTTGTTACCATTGAAAGCTCTAAAAGGTTCACCACCACTGGTATAGACATAATAATTTACTTACATGGAGAAAGGACAAAAGTCTTAGGTAGAGGAAGATAACCATGGGTGTAGGAAGATTATCTTTGTTCACAAAGAATTTTCTCTTTACATTTCTCCTAACAGCTGATGCTAGCAACTGCCTGCCCTTTCTAGCTTCCAGACCCAGCTCAAAGCTCTGGATTGATTCCTTTTCTTCTTATATCTTAGCCTGAGCCACCATCACCCAAAGGGCTCCATCCCGATGTTCTACTCAATCCTTGCTTTCTCTCCCAAGGTATGTTTATTTGAGGAAGCGGGCAGAATTTTGTCACTCAGTTTTTAAATGGAGCGTAACAGACGGATGCTTATTAAATATTGTTTAGATAAATGTCCCTTAATGGTTTTCTTCCTTAAAAAATGGTGGTTGGTTAGTTACTGGATGTGGTGGCATGTGGGTAGTCCCTTGCTACTGGGGAGGTTGAGGCAGGAAACCCCAGGAAATTGAGGCCAGACTGGGCAACATAGTAAGACCCTGTTCCAAAAAAAAAAAAAAAAGCAGGTAGTGTTTAGTAGGTCAGCACTTGTTTTCACTCTTCCATTACCACACTATTTCCTACCAAATATCTTATAATATGGGATATTTTATTGGAATTTTTTGGGTTCCTATTTTGTAGGATTTTCTTTATTGTATTTTTTGGTTATTTTGGAGCACTTGGGAGAGAGAGGAAATCAGATAGCTTAAATTACTATCTTGGTGCAGGAAATTCCTTGAATTACCTTAGTACTCTTAAAAGAATTTTCTTATTTAAGACTTACATATTGGTCAAGTCCTACGAGACAGTAGTATAGTAATTTAGGTAGCACATTTCAAACCAGTCATTCTTGTTGATGGAGTGGAAATTGGGCTGTAATAAAAACAGCATTAACCTAATAGGTTTGAGGATTGAAATTGCTATAAAATTTCTCTTTCTTTTTGTGCTACCTGAAATGTTTGCAATAGACTGTACCTTTTTTGACCGCAGGAGGCGGTCCTAGTATAAGTAGCTATCAGGTATCATCATTGTTTCTACATGCTTACAGGTTGCACATAGTTGAAAACCAAATAGATTTTCTAGACCAACTTTGAAATTGAAGGTGAAGTACAAACCCCAAACTGACTAAAATACACAAACTCCCCCTCAGACTGTATGTCAGAAGTCCCCAGTGTTTTTGGTATTAGGGATTGGTTTCATGGAAGACAGTATTTCCATTGCCTGGGGTTGGGGTGGTCATAGTGGAAGTCTGGATGATTCAGAGGAACATGGGACTTAGATTCCTGGCATGCCCAGTTCACAGTAGAGTTCAAGATCCTATGAAAATCTAGTGTGGCCACTGATCTGACAGGAGGCAGAATTCAGGCAGTAATGGCAGCACTGGGAAGCGGCTGTAAACAGAGGTCAAGCTTGGCTTGCTCACCCACCCCTCACCTCCAGCTGTGAGGCCCATTTCCCAATAGTCCATTGACCAGTCCAGGGTGTGGGGACTTCTGTTATGTACTGTAAATTACATATTCAAAATACTGACGTTCAATATTAAATAGTTACCAAGTGAAAGCTAAGTGGATTACTTAATAAGGTGGTCTCTTTTCTTAGTGTTGTTTTGTAATTTCTATTTTTCTCCAGCAAAAATGTTCCCAGTGGCACATTTAAGTTCTTATATTTGAAGCCAGAATTAGTGATAACTGACATGAACACTTAAGAATAATGCAGAAAACGTGTCAGAGATGAAACAGGAAATAAGTAGTAGTAATAGTGAAAGAGTTTCTGCTCAGCATCAAGCCTTTTGATACTTGGAAATAAAGAGTTAATGGTCTTTGTATAATGAATTTTTAAGTGTCAAGTAAACCAAAATTAGGGAAAGAAGGAACCAAAGCTATCTGTTGAGTTTTATCGCATAGCATTTCGACTCCTGAGTTACATAGCATTGTAATGAGAGTTGAACAGTTGAAGTTCCTACTTTTTCAGAGATTTCCTTCCGTGACTCTTGCCTTAGTCCCTGAAAGCAAACCAGACAAGTGGTTTAGTGACAGTTTTTAAAACAAAACAAAACCTTGTATAATTCTTACACAGAATAGCCTTGGTGGAGTAGTTAACTGAAATTTGATTCTTAGATTATTGAGGCTTCTCTTATTTGAATCTGGTCTGTTATGTTAGGAAAAAAAATTTCTACTTTGCTTGTCATTTTGGAATCTTCTTTAATTAAGCTCCACCTTGGTGAAGGGAGAGCAGATACTTTCTCAGTCTTCTATCTTAGCTTTGTAAGAATTTCAGTTACTTATAGTAGCTCTTTTTAGGGCCCCTCTTACCCATCACAGGCCCTTTGCCTTATATTGCCTTTTCTTTGATATTAACATTTTTATAACAAACATCCCATTCTGGGGCAGAGGATTTAGCTCAGGGGCACCATGCCTGCCTTGGAAGTGCGAGGTCCTGAGTTAGATCCCCGGTACCCAAACAAACATTCCATTCTGGAATTACTGTTTCAAAGATAGCCTCATTAAAGGGATAGCTATGAGTAATAGCTTGGTTATTCTCCTTACTTCAACTTGTCAGATCAGATACCCTGTTTGCCTGAAAGTAAGGCCTACCTGGAAGACAAGTTCTAGCATGGTTTTAGAGGGGACATCCCTTGGAGCAAAAGAGGCAGTAGGGCTCATCTTCAGGGGATGTTTCTTCTACAGTCATGCTAGAACTTATTTTCTGGGTAGGTCTTATTTTGAGGGGATCATGGTAATGAATTTGGTGAGAACAACTGTCTTTGTTAAGATCAGTGAAAATATTTTGAAATTTTATTAAGACGTTGCAACAAAATAGTTGATAGAATGTTTGCTTATATAGATCTGTAATTCATCTTGTTCTGGGTTATTAGTAAAATTTGCAACAAGGTACATTTTAATACACAGTCCTTTTTAATCTGCAAGGAAAGGATAAACCCACCTACAACTATGACATCATTTGTAATTATAAAACATAATTGTCTTTGTGTCAGAGCCAGACATAAAAAATAGACAAGAGCTACCCAATAGATAGGGCAATTAATTAACAAGCCTTTCAATGGCTCTTGAATTACATTTTCATGGTGGATTTTTAATTTTGTTGAAGCATATTTTTAGAGCTGTAGAAGTGCATATATTGGGGTGAAAACAAGTATACATGTAGCTATTCTTCAGAAACACTCAGGTGCGTAATGTTTTACATGCAAGAACTGTAACTGTACCAGTCTTTATACAGTAATAGGAAAAAGTGGGAAAAGGTGGAAGGTTCTACCAGTGACCATTTGGTTAAATAAGCTATAATAATATATCTGTGCTGTGAAATACTCTTGCAGCCATTGAAAGTGAACTAAATACGTTTGCACTGGCATGGAAAGAAGTCCATGATACAAAAGTGAAAAAAGTCAAGTTGCAAAATTTTATGTATAATACTCTTATTTGTATAAGAATAAACAAAGAAAGCTCCATATACATTATTTGTTTGCTTTTTGTATTTGTTTGCCCCCCCCCCCCCGTAGTAGTGCTCTGATTGTGTTTTGGGGAACCATCCTCTCTTCCTTAATCACAGTTCTATTATTGAATGGTGTTTATGTGCCCCTGTCTCCAATGAAAGGCCTATAAACCATGCGTGGTTATTCAAAGAAGTGTATCTAACTGATGCTGAGTTAACACTCTGATTGATGTAGAAGTCAGTAGAGATTGACACTTAAAAAAATTTGGCCCAAGACTTATTTATACTCTGCTTTTGAGGGAGTGACATGCTTTTTTATGAGGTTTATACCTGGAAAAATATTAACGTGGAACTCTCAGCAAGTCATTTTGGCATAAGCTGGAGCCCAGTAGTGAAGCCAAATGGAGATAGCTACCAGGGACTAATTACATTGTATCCCTAGCTGGAGCTTCTGCTAAGCCTAGTGTACTATTGGACTGTGCCAATGTAGCGAAGCCTCTGTTTAGCTTAAATAGGGCTGAGTTGGATTTTTGGATGCCTGCAACTGAATAAACAGTGCTAACTGATGCAGTGTATGTGCAGCTATATATTTATAAATATATTTGGGTGATTCCATACTAAAATGTTGACAGTATTTTGTGGGAGAAGAATAGGATTGAGGGAGAAGGTATCTAGGGGCTCTCCCCTTTTACTGTAAACCAATATTTTTAAATTTAAACATTATTTTTCTTTTCCTGTCTCCCACCACATCCATCAAAATTCACATGAATTAATTAGGTATTTATTTCTTGTGTTAGTTGATTGTTTCAAAAGCCTATTCTTATACTGGCTATAAGACTTTGAGATTGTTGTTTTGTTTGTTTTTTTGTTTTTGGTACCAGGGATCGAACTCGGGACCCTGCACTTGCAAGGCAGGCCATGGCACCACTGAGCTAAGTCCCCGGCCCGAGATTATTTTTGAAGAAATTTAAATTGTTTAGTTATTTTGAAGTGAAATTGATGGTATTTAGCAATACAAATGTCTGTCTATGGCCATACCTGATGTTACTTGATCTCAGAAGCTAAGCAGGACCAGATCTTGTTAGTTCTTGCATAGGAGAAATATAAAAATAGAATTTTTTGGCATTACACAAATATGTTTTGAAACATGTGATACTGCTTGTAAGAAGCACTTTGCCTTTTGTAATGAAACCCATGATAATCGTTTCTTGTATATGTAGTATAGAAAAGCTTGGATATGGTAATTCAGAATGACCCCCACGTCCCATTCTGGCTAATGCAAAACAACCATTACTAGCTGTGCTAAAAAACTTTCACATGCTTGAACCGTATGTTCTGGTCTTGGTGTAGTTAAAGTTCCACAGATGGGAAATCACTGTGCAGGGAATGTTCTCAATTGGTGCAGAGTATCCATCCACCAGGTATCATTGCACTTTGTTCTAGCAATGCATTCTTTTACTTTTGAAGAAGAGGTTTTTACATTTAGTTTTGTAGGAAATTTATTAAAGTAAAATACTAACGTTTTATAGTATTAGGCATGCTATGTAAAGATAATCAAAAGGTGATACCGTTTTAATAGAATATATGCTGTCAGTTTAGCATGTATATGAACATGTTTTTGTAGACCCAGCCCGAAGTATTAAGTTTGAGAAATACTAAAAGGGCCTCTTAATATGTAAAGTAATTTAACTTAATTACGTTCCCTCAAAGGAGTTCTAAAACAGTGACGTTCCTGGGTGTTTGTAGATTAATTGAAATTTAAAGGTGAGACCTTACTTTGAACACGAGTGGAGCTTAATATTATGTACACTTTCTTTAGCTTATCTAACTTTATGTAAAATTCATATATATGAGTACAAAAATAAAAGAATTTCTAATATAGAGTTTGATATATTTAATAGTGAACCTTTAGTACTCAGATTTTAATCTCAGCTGTGTATTGTCCTGTCCCATACGTGGTAATCACATATAGTATTAATGGTAGCTACCATTTACATAGTACCTCTCAAGATACCTTTATGTGTGTTTTCTCGTTTAATCTTCAGAACAACCTTGTGAAAGAGGAAGAGGAAGGGAAATGCTAATTTTTTTTGTTCCCTTTTACGGGTGAAGAAATTAAGAGAGTGGAGCTAGGGGTGCTTTTCTAAAAAGGAAAGGAAAGAGGAAAAAGAAAAGAAGGGAGGGGAGGGGATGGGGAGAGAGAGAGAGAGAGAGAGAGGAGAGAGAGAAAGACAGAAAGAAAACCATTGAGAGTAAACGATTTCGCATATGTGCTGCCGATGTGAGCACAAGAGTAAATGCTTTAATAAATAGAGATGGATAGAAATAGGGTTTTGTTACCTCCATCTGTCTGAGTGCTAGGGACAAAAAACACACACCAACAAACAACCAAATAGCCAAAATGGTAGGAAACCAGAAAGGTTAGATGGACTTAGGGACTAAGCCAGGGAGGGAGATGTGCTATTTCTTTTTCTTTCTTCTTGTTTGTTTGTTTAACTAATTAGCAGTGATAACTTGGGGGAGTAGAAGATGTCTTTCTGTTGTTTTTATTTAATGAATGAAGCTTTTTTTTTTTCTTTTTGGTACTGGGGATTGAACTCAGGACCTTGCGCTTGCACGGCAGGCGGCAGCACCACTGAGCTAAATCCCCAGCCCTAATGAATGAAGCTTTTATTCATGTAGTGATTATTTTATTCATCTAGTTAGATGAATGGTGCTTTTAGCTATGTCAAGTAAGGAAATGAAAAAAATTGTCAGTGTTGCATAGACAAACCATTTTATATAACTAGAACTTAAGTGTTTAGTATTCTCTTGCTTAGGTTTTTAAATACATACAGCCAAGTGCAATGATGCATGTTTATGGCCCTGTTACTCAGGAGGCTGAGGCAGGAGAATCCCTTCAGCTAGGAGCTCAAGGCTAGCCTGGGCAACATAGCAAGACCTTGTCTCTGTCAATCAGTAAGTTGATTGATAGATAAATAAGTGGATTGTTAAAGCCCTGTTTTATTGTATTTTTATTTTGTAAAGGAGGAGAGGTTTATTTGACTCACAGTTTCTTTTTTCTTCTTCCTTTTATTACTAGTACAGTGGTAGCTTGGTTTACAGACACTTTTGTTTGCGAGCAATTTGGTTCACAAACAAAAACGTTTGTCAAACTTTTGTTTTTGTTTGCAGACTGCATCGGGTGACAAAGACGACCGTGGCGGTCTTTCCCGCACAAAGACAAATGTGGCCATCTTTTACGAAATGGTGGAACAGATTAAGTTCATGAACCGAGGTACCACTATACATGTTGTGATCCATAATGAGCACATTCATTGTGGGGAATTGGTATATACGCATATCACATCTTTATCCTTTTTACTTTCCTTCCTGCCCCTTCCATTTCCCCTCCTCCCCAAATCCCATTCCCATCTCTATAAAGTCTATCTGTTTCTTATCATCTGTCTTTTATTGTGCTCCTAAATTATTTATACTTTGGGTTTCTCATATAAGAGAAACCATACAATATTTAACCTTTTGTATGTAATTTACTTCACTTAGCATTATGGTTTTAAGGTGTATCTCTTTTCCCATAAGCGAGTCAAAAACGTATCCTTCTTTATGGCTGAGTAGTACTCCATTGTGTATAAATACCACATTTTCTTTATCCATTTATCTGTTGATGGACATATAGTCTGCTTTCAATATTTAGCCATTAAAACCCTGTTTTAAAATTGTCTTATCACCTTAAAGATAAAAATCTTAGAGCTTGAGGGTGCTTATCCGAAGGGTGATTTTGGTTTCTTAGATGAGGAAACTAAGGCACAAAGAAGCTTTCCCAATATCATATACCAGAATTGTAACTAGAGCTTGCATTTTCAGACTTGTAGTTTAGTGTTATTTTTACTTTCAACTATTTCTTGTTGGTAAGCTGTTCTTGACGTACTTAAAAACAGATCTTTTGTATCTTTAATATATGTGTTTTCTACTTTGTGTCAAAATAAACTTAAAGATACAAAATTGACTTTCAATTTTGTGATGAAAATTTCAATTCTTTGTTTAATTTTAGGTGAATTGACGTGTGCAAAATCCTGGTTATTCTGAAGATGCCTCTGCAGAATATTGCTTCCTGTTTAAATTACAGATAACATCAAGAGTTTTCGGAGCAAGAGAAACTGGGATTTTTTTTTATTAAATCATGCCTTCTGAACAGAACAAGTCATTTTGTGATGAAAAAGAAACTACTTTAAAAATGGGATGTAATATGAAAAATCTGGTAGTTGATACTATGAGATCAGTACCTAAACCAAAAATTTCACAAAGTAGTTTTCATTATAAACTTAAAAATGTGAAAATCGACTTGCCGAAGGTAAATATTCCAAATGAAGTCCTAATGAAACACGAAGTTAACAAATATAGAAAATTATTTTGTAGCAAACCACAGACTGCAAGAAAATCTATCAGTATAAAGTCGATAAGCCGTGCAGAAGAGTGTATATTGCTTCATAAGTCTGAGAGAACAGAAGAAGAGGGTATAAAAATGTCTGCAAAAATACTCAATTTCAGCTGTTTAAAATGTGGAGATAGCACTCGTTATAGCCCCAATGATTTGCAGAAACATTTTGAAATGTGGCACCATGGTGAATTACCTTCATATCCCTGTGAAATGTGCAGTTTTTCCGCAAATGACTTCCAGATATTTAAACAACACCGCCAAACCCACAGAAGCACTTTAGTAAAATGTGACATTTGTAACAGTGAGTGTGTGTATACTTTATTGGACTTGACGAAACATTTCATATCCACACACTGTGTTAATGGTAATTTCCAATGTGAAAAGTGCATATTCTCCACCCAGGATGTTGGCACATTCGTTCAGCACATTCACAGACATAATGAAATTCATTACAAATGTGGTAAGTGCCATCATGTATGTTTTACCAAAGGAGAGCTTCAGAAGCACCTTCATATTCATTCTGGTACTCTTCCTTTCACTTGTCAATATTGTAGTTACGGTGCCACCAGGAAAGACCATCTTGTAAGACATATTATAACTTTGCACAAAGAACACTTATATGCGAAAGAAAAACTGGAGAAAGATAAATATGAAAAGAAGATGGCAAAGACTTCAGCTGAACTTAAGCTGATTCTGAAAAGATATAAAATAGGTGCATCAAGGAAGGCATTCTGGATACGTAAGAAAGTTAACAGTGGAAGTGACAGAAGTATCGACAAAAACACTCAAGTGCTTAATTTAATAAACAGTGCAGAAATGAAATCTGAAGACCAGAGCCATCTTGGTCAAGAGCATTTAAATGACGACAAAAGTGAAAGACTACATTGTGAGAACAGTGATATGCCCACAGAGTCAGAGTCAGAAAAGCCAACCTTTCTGGACAGTGGACAGTATAATGGAGCTGATGAGGGATCAAATTCTACTTCAGATTTCTTGAAGACTGCTCTACAAGGACCAACAGTGTTAATGGTAAAAAATAATAAAATAACAGTTCCTGCTAATTACAGTGCTAAGTTTATGGGCTTCAGGATGGTGGATGGAAGACAACATATTGTAATAAAATTGTTGCCTACCGGCAAGCAGAATTTATATTTACCAGCTTCACAGTCAGGTGCCGTAAAGGACAGTACTGCTAATTTGCAGCCCCAGACTTTGGATACCACTGGATTTTTAACAGGAGCGACAACTGATTTAAATGACACGGTTTATATGAAAACAACTCCATTTTCACGTTCATCTCCCATACTTTCAGGGAAAAAAATTTCAGAAAAAGAAATGGCTTTGATATCTGAAAGGAATAATATGCTTCAAACAGTGGATTACAATAAAAGCGTGTCTCCTTTGCCAGCATCATCAGAATTGGTTACCACATCAGTGAGTTTGACCACAAAAGTTGAAGCAAGAGATATTGTTGACTTATGGGGAAGTCGTATCACTCAGCATCATCCTGAGGTATCAAACACCATCAATAAAAGTCCGGATAAAGTCAGCCATACCACAAAATCAAGTGTATGCAACAGTGGAGATATGCATAACTATTGCATTAATTATGTCAACTCTGAGCTACCTGCTGAGTCCTCCAACCAAGGATCATTACCTTTTCATAACTACTCAAAAGTGAACAACTCTAATAAACGCCGTAGGCTTTCAGGAACAGCACTGTGTGAAAGCTTTCAGAGAGAATCTTCATCCAGCAAAACAGTTGCTCAACAACCAGTTAGTGAGACAGCTCTATCACTAGTGAGGAAGGAGAGTTCAAACCCAGATAGCCTGTTAGCATCTGTCAGCCTTTTAAATGACAAAGATGGAACTTTGAAAATGAAAGGTGAAATGGAAGAGCAGTGTGTTTTAGAGAAAGGGCAGAATACTGACGGACAGAACCTCTACACTAATGCAAACCAAAATTTAGAGAGTGTGAATGAAAAACCAGAATGGAATGACTTTTCTAATGTTGATTCACTTATGATGCCTAGGATCACATCTGTTTTCTCTCTCCAGAGCCAACAGGCATCAGAATTTTTGCCACCTGAACTAAATCGATTACTTCAGGAGGAATTAAAACCAAAATATGATGTAAAACAGGACTCTAAAATTCCAGACGAAAGCCTGACGCCTCATTGTGACCTGTCACTTCAAAAACATGAGGGCGAAGGAACAGTAGTTGAATCTTCAAAAGACATCAAAGTAGAAGGTGTCTTCCCAGTTCCATCTGGCAGTGTTGGTAGTATCCCTACAAATGATCTAAATTTAAAATTTAATGGAAAAAAGAAGCAAGTGCTATCGGTTTCACAGGACGTGAGAGATTCAGGGAAGACACCTAGAATTTCAGGTATTAGCACATTACTTAAGACTCAGTCAGATGCAATAATAACACAGCAGCTTGTAAAGGACAAACTACGAGCCACTACACACAATTCAGGTACTTTATATATGCAGAATCCACCTCTGAACTCAGAACAGAAAAAAACTATATTTGTTCCAACACCAAAAGGTTTTTTTATACCATTACATGTCGCTAACAAGCCTGGATTCCATGTTGTTTCAGGAAGACCACTTTCACTTGTTAATACACAAAGAGTACCTGCTTCTCTTCTTTTAAACAAGAAACCTGGAATTATTCTCACATTTAATAATAGGAACCCTGAAAGTGTTTCCACTGTCAAAACTGAGAGTGCACCAGCTTGTGGAATTATGACAAAGGAGCCTTGCAAAACCCCTTTTTTAAAGGTAGAACAGAACAGTAATTGTCTTACACCTGCACTTTGTTCCAGCATTGGCAGTTGTTTGAGCATGAAAAGTAGCTCAGAAAATACATTGTCATTAAAAGGCCCTTATGTTATTAAAACATCAAGTTCTTCAGCAAAAGCTGTTCCTCCTTATGTGTTATCTGAGCAGCAGGGCACAAAGTTGAATATCTTGGATTCATTAAAACAGCAGAATGAAATTTTTCCAAAATCTCCTCTTTATACCCTTTTGCCTGATGGCAAACAAGCTGTTTTGTTAAAGTGTGTAATGCCAAATAACACTGAGCTGCTTAAACCCACGTTAGTCCAAAATAGTGCTTATTATCAAAATATACAGCCAAAGAGACCTGAGGGAACACCACAAAAAATATTACTGAAAATTTTTAACCCTGTTTTAAATGTTACTGCTGCTAATAGTATGCCAGTTAGCAGCTCTGTATCCTCATTTCAGAAAGATGGTGTACCTTCTAATCAGACTATAGAGCAGAAAGAGCCCGAGTCTTCTAGAGATGCCTTACCCTTTTTAATAGATGATTTGATGCCAGCAAATGAAATTGTTATAACTTCTACTGCAATGTGCCCAGAATCTTCTGAGCAACCAGTATGTATCAGTGACCATTCAGAGGCTAGAGTATTAAGGTGTAAAACAAGTTGTACGACTGAGAGAAATTTCAATAGAAGAACTTCGAAGAGAAATTTTTCAAAAGTGAAGAGTCACGTAAGAGCCAAAGATTCTGAAACTGCCTTTTTATCTAGAAACAGAAACTGTAAACGGAAGTGTAAGGATAGTTACCAAGAACCTCCAAGAAAAAAATCAACATTGCATAGAAAGTGTAAAGAAAAGGCTAAAGCTGAAGAAGGGCATGAAACATTTGGATTTAGCAGACCTAGGCTTTCAAAAGATTCAGTCAGAATTTTGCGACTTTTCCCTTTTCGTTCCACACAGCTTGTGAAATGTCCTAGGAAAAACCAACCCGTTGTGGTTTTGAACCATCCTGATGCAGATACACCAGAAGTAGCAAATGTAATGAAAACTGTCGCCAAATTTAATGGACACATAGTTAAGGTTTCATTGTCAAAAAGAACTGTAAGTGCTTTACAAGAACCAGTTTGTTATAACCCTTCTAAAACAACTTATGATGGTTTTTCCAAGAGGCATAAAACATTTAAACCTGTTAGTTCTGTGAAAGAAAGATTTGTGCTCAAACTAACGCTCAAAAAGACAAGCAAAAACAATTACCAGATTGTAAAAACTACCTCTGAAAATGTTTTGAAAGCTAGGTTTAACTGTTGGTTTTGTGGTAAAGTATTTGACAATCAGGATACTTGGGCTGGTCATGGGCAGAGACATTTAATGGAAGCTACTCGGGATTGGAATGTGTTAGAATAGTTTACCAAAATTATCAAGGAGAAGTAAAATTAGAAGAAAACTGGGTTATCATGATGTGAGCATTTTCTACTCATAGTTCCTGCAATATTTTTAAAGTTATATTTCCATGGAAGAGCAAAAGCTTTATGTGTGGTACTTGAAAATGCCATCACTGCACACATAAGTTGAAAAAAACTAATCCGCACAGATGTATCTTGTTTTAATTTCTTTTTTTTTGGTACCGAAGATCGAACTCGGGACCTTGCGCTTGTGAGGCGGGCAGCAGAACCATTGAGCTAAATCCCTGGCCCTTGTTTTAATTTCTTAAAGATGTGTTTGTGGGAAGTTACGGTTAAAGAGAATTATGATCAGTTTTTCCAGTTTACTTCTTTAGACACTGTTAGTACAGGTAATGGCAGACAGCTTCATTCCCACTCTTCTTCCACTAGCCTTAAGAATCTGATAAATACAGCTCCTCTGAAGATAACTCTTTCACAATGTAAACTGAATGAGTTTCTCATCACTTGTAAAGATAACAGCCTGAGTAAAGAAGTTAATCTATGTTGCTAATAAATTCAGTTCATTTGAAGGGTATTAGACTCCTTTGAAAAGTACTTTTAACTCACTATAGTTATATCTTAATACTTGAAGAATTTGGGGCAAGTAAATCTTGTTTCTTCTTATGCTGTGTCCCAGGTCAGAGATTAGAACACCTAAGGTGATTTTCTTTTTCTGAATGACTGTGTTGCAGTAGATGGGCAGCCTCAAGAGAAACATTAAAGTCTGTTTAGTTTTAAAATCCAGTTAGTAATTTTCAGCATGTTTGCAAATTGGATATTTTTCAGTAATACCTTTTCATGGAACTATGCCTATCTGATTTAAATTTTTTCCCAGTAAACCAAACGGGCGTCTTTTTTTGTGATTGCCATCCCTTTTAAAACCATGGAACACAGAAGCACTTAAAAGGGAATGGATTCTCTTGAAAATCAAACTTTTTGTTTTTTTGTTTTGTTTTTTTGGTAACGGGGATCGAACTCATATTCTTGCGCTTACGCAGCAGGCAGCGAAACCACTGAGCTAAATCCCCAGCCAAAAATCAAAGTTTTTACACAATAATTTGAAGGAAGATTAACAAAGTAGGTCACGTATTTGTGTGTTTAATTACTATTATTATTTAAACATGTCTAAATTAGGACAACCTTTTTTTGGCTGCGTGTATGTGTTTTTGTTTTTAACTTGAACTTGCTATGTAGTGCAGGCTGTACTTGAACTTGCTGTTTCCTTCTTCTGCCTCCTGATTGATGGGATTACAGACACATGCCACCAAGCTCAGCTAGACAAACCACTTTTGTTACAACTTTTCAGTATAACTGACAGCCCAGAGCAGGTACTTGCTGATTGTTGATGTTTGAAAGTGGGAAAGCATTAACAGTGGACGCAGTGGCGTTTCATAAAACTTTAGGACAGATTACTGAGGGACATGTCTGCCAGAGTTTCAAAATGAACATTTTCATGACAATAGTCAGCAGATTTACACTTTTCACCTTGTAGACTTGTATCAAGTTTTGTTAGATCATTGGATAATGAAGTTCTTATATTACAAAATTATGTGCTATATAATTTTTTGTTACATTGTTAATATAAGTGTTAATATTTTCATTAATTGGATGAAAACTTCAGGGCTTTTTTTCTGTATATAACAAAAATCTGTACATAATTTTTGTACTTTGTTATGTAAATTTGCACAAAGTTTTTGACAAAAATTGTTTTTCTTTTAGTTTAGTTCTGTGCATGCACTAATAAAACTAGTTGTTTAATTTAAAAAGAATATATGTACAAGACTATTCATGTTATTCTCTTGGTGTTTATTTCAGGTGTAGATTTTTTTAAGTAAATTGATTTTTCAGGGATTGAACACTATTGTTAGCAAGTGCCTAAAAAGGATGTGAAACAGTTTACATACGTCAACTGTAACAGTAGGTCCCAAATGGGCCCATTCCCCTAATAGTTTTATTTTAAAGAAAGCCATACATAGATGCTTCAAGCTATCTTGCTATGCAGATTATACTTGTACTGTTTTTGTGCAGTTTATCTACTTTCTTAGTGAAGTATTTTTTTGTATAAAACCTGTTAAAATTGTGTTTCTTAATTGAGCCTAAGAATGGAGTTAATTGGAAATATATAGTATATATTAATAATGTATATCATGTTTAAAGAATGGTAAGCATTGTTAACTTCATTGTTAATGAACATTTTCTTCAATTAAAGTCAAATTTGTGTTTATACAAGGAATTTTTTCATCCTAAAATCTGATGGAAATTTTATTCAAATGAGAAATACTTAGATTTCTAAGTAAGTGTGCATGTGTGCGCGCACGTGTATGTGTGTGTGGTGTTTTTTAAATGCTACTAAACTATACAAAATAAAGTGAGACTTTTCTCCAAAAATAATAGATGAAATTTTGTTTGAGAAAGGCCGTATTTACCATAATTTCCCTGTGATTTTACTGGCAAGGTAAACCATAGAGTTTTATGCACTTCAGTACCCTAACAGCAATAAAATTGAAAAGCTGTTGTTATGGATGCATCTGTAATGAGGTGTTACTTCCTGTGAATAGAGAGAAGAAAGAACTATAGCGCTATGAATATACATTTCAGAATAGCCATACTACAAAAATAAATGTAATGTTGGAATATACATTTTTTGTCTTAAAAGTTTTAAAAGCCATTTAACATCATGACCCAGGTTCTAGTAGGAACTTTTGTTTTTGTTAATTTAGGTTATTCTGAAGGAGGCTGCTGGAGTAGGAAAAAAAAAACCCCAAAGCCCTCTATCCATTCTTTTTTCTTGACTAAAACTGAACCAAAGATGGTTCTCCAAAATGCATTCACTATATTGAAGCTCTTATTACAAGTGAAGAGTTGGTTTTAGTTTTATTTTTTTCAATCACATTTCTAGGTTGAGAGATTTTTATTTTTCCTGTTTGTCCATTTCTATTGAAGTGAGCCTCTCACTATTTGACATTTACTTTTTTTTGGTAGTGGGGATTGAACTCAGGATCTTGCGCTTGCAAGGCAGGTGCAGTGGCCACTGAGCTAAATCCCCAGCCCTTGACATTTACTTTAAAAAATAGTTCACTAGGGCTGGGGATTTAGCTCAGTGGTTCTGCTGCCTGCCTTGCAAGTACAAGGTCTCAAGTTCGATCCCTGGTACCAAAAAAAAAAAAAATTAGAGTTTTTGCTATTAGCACAAATTGAAATGTATTTTCTGCATTTTGAGTTTTTTGTTTTGGTTTTTTTGAGACAGGGACTCACTGTGTATCCCAGGCTGGTCTTGAACTCACTGTGGACCCCAGGCTGGCCTCGAACTCAGCAATCCTCTTGCCTCAGCCTCCCCAGTGCTGGGATTACAGGTGTGTGCCACCACACCCAGCAGTACCAGAGATTTAAATGTAATAGTTTTTTATGAAAATGATATGTTCCATTGAGAAGTCAGTATTTTCAGTAAGGGGTGAGATGGTCATTAACTTAGGCTTTATTGGACATAGAATCCCTGTCATAACTACCCAAGCATTGTAACAGAATCAGCCCTGGGTAATACATACATGAATGTGACCATGTTTTATTAAAATTAATTCACACAAACAGGCTGGATTTGACCCATAAACCATAGTTTACTGATCATTGCTTAAGTTTCCTCAAGGGTCTTCTCTTTGAATGGGATTTTCATTACAAAACACTAGTTTGATAGTTTGTGATATATACCATCTGTGTAAATGAATTACAAAGTATAAAAACTAACTTGCATCTATATAAAATTGCCAGTGTAGATGTGTTTGTATAAAAATGAGAATATGTATAATAGTGGGTAAATGTATGCTAAAAGTAAGAATTTATGGAGGGATTAAAATGAGATAAATGCAGAAGTTATGTCCAAGTTAGGTAGAAAAATTCTAGTTCGTTTAGTCAACTGAAATAGATATTTTTAAAAAGTAACACGAGTTCTTGGGAGAGACTAGAAGTGAGGTGAAAGCACAATATATATTAACTCCATACAGCTAACTGATTTTTAAAAACAATTCCATTTTATCACTGACATTTGTTTATTTAAGTTGGGATATACCTATTAGGGGTGTTGGCATTTTTGCCTTAACTCATTAGGATCCTTATTCTCAGCAGAGTATCTTGACCTCATTGGGGAACCTATCTGGCAACTTGCTAGGGGACTTTCTTTTTCAAGTCACGGTTGCCAGCTAAGAGTAGCATTAGAAAATTTTTCTACAATGCGGAGTTGAGATGGTTTATTTTGATGTTCATTGATTTATGTGTGCTTCCTTGAAGAACTGGACAATTGAGAAGTAACTAGTATCTTGGACGAAGTATGTGATGAAGTCTTCATAGTCACTTTTTGACCAGTTCTGTATCTAAAAGTTGTGTTAATCAGTGGCCCCAAATTTAAGAATATTCTTTCTTTAAAAAGAATATTTACAACAACATGAACTTTTGAGTAGTGTAGAAAAAAATGTTAATGTACATGAATTTTAAAAGTCATGATTTAGGAGAAGCTATGAATGTACTAAATTTAAATATTCTTAGCAAAGACATTTATTGTGTTACAAGAATTCTTCCATAATAATTTAGAGTGTTTCAACCTAAAGTGAGAGTTACGGTCAAGTTGCAACTTTTGAAATGCTTCTTTCAAGTAAGGAGTGAAACACTTATGTCTGCTATCATTAATGTTATGAGTTGGTGCTAATGTAAAAGTACAGGGAAACAAAAATGAAAGTTAAATTTAGGGGAGAGAGTAAAATATTATTTGCAGATGCTTGCTTCCAATATCTTGAAAAATCCAAAGGAGTACACTGAAAATTAGATCCCTCAGTTAACAGTAATCAAGTGGGAAACAGTAAAAAAACAAACAAACCCCACCAAACTATTAATAATAAAAGGCATAAAATAATCTTAAGAATTGTATGAACCTGCCAAAGGAAAAATCACAAAAACCTAACCTAGAAAGTAGACGGTACTTCTGGCTGGAAAGTTAAAGATATTCACTTGGCAGATTGCATTTTTTTCAGCTTTGTCCTTCTGGTACTCCTTTCTCCTTCAACACCTGTTCCACTGTGGGTGGGGCATTCAATAAAGAGCCAATTTCCCATCAGCCCCTCCCTCCCAGCCTTCTTTATAGTTCAGAGGCTGAGAGGTTCTTTTCAGGAGAGGGCTGGAGTAGGCTTCAAAGTCTACCAAGATACTGCTTATTACAAAAGGCCTGTAATAATAGGTCTCCAGAAGGAAGGAAGGAGGCGGGGAGGGGGTGGACTAATAGAAAGTATAGATACATAGGAAAGGGAAGTTGGCTTATATGTTTATAAAGGCTGAGAAGCTTCATAATAGGTGGTCTTCCAGCTGGAGCCCCAAGAATGCTGGAAGCATTCCTTAGTCCCAATCCATAAACCTCGGAAACAGCAAAGCCAGTGATGTATTTCTTTAGTCAAAGGCCTGTGAATCCAGGGGGCTATAGGCATTCAAGGGCCAGAAACACAAGTTCTCATAGCCAGAGGCAAGAGATGTGGCCTGGTTCCAGAGAGGAGAGAGAGAGTAACCTCCACATCCAGTGCACAGATGCACACCTATCTCCAGAAATACTTTGATGACACCATCCATTAATATGTTACCAGCTTTCAAGGTACTCTTTAATCCAGTCAAGTTGATACCTAAAAATAGCCATCACGGTGCCTCACTTTATTTGGGACAGACTGGCACATTTAATAACCCAGAGTATTGCTGAAAACAGAGTAATCAGTATTTAGTGGCAGCTAACAGTTCCTGACCATATGAATGGATATCAGGTAGAAGCTTAAAGGCAGGAACTGGAAAAGAGATAAAAAGCCTCAGTTAAGCCACAGATAAACCCGTGTTCAGTGTTCAGGAAGAGTGTGCATCCAGATGGCTCTGACCTCAGAGTAACCAGCCTGCCAAAGAGTGAAGAGTTTCCTCTGCTTTTGCCATAAAGTACTCACCATAGGCCCAAAGCAATGAAGTCAGGTAACCATAGACTGCAGCCTCTGAAACCATGAGCCAAAATAAATTCTCTTTGTAAATTAAATTTATCTCAGGTATTTGTCATAGGGATGGAAATTAACCCAGACTCTCTAGCATTTTTTAAAATTAATTTTATTGGTACATTTAAGGTATACAATATAATGACATTCATCATTGGAAATTTGCACTTTTACATAGTCCATCTTGGTTCTTACATTTTCTCCATTCCCTTGCCCTCCCTTCAACCAATCCACCCCTCCCTATCTACAAAAACATTGTTTCCATTTTTTCTTTTTCTCATATTAATTCCATTCCATTCTTTCTTCTCCCTTACCCCTCCCACTTCCCCCTCCCCTTTGCCCCTTTTCTTCCTATTTCACATTATCCATTATATCTTTTAGTCCTTATTTATACTTTCAGTTTCTCACTCTAGAGAAACTATTCG